TGTCCCCCAGCAGCTACTCTCTGTCCAAGTGTTTCCTGCCTGAGGAGAGCACGGTGATCGGGGTTTACTGCTCGGCCGGCGCCTGCATGCTGCTGCTCTTCCTCGCTCACTGTATGTGGATGAAAGGCCTGCTGCAGTGCCTCAGCCTCTGCCTGCTGGGCAAGCACAAGTCCCTGTGAACTACATTACCCAGAGTGCACCACGCTCCTGGCCTGAGCCATGACATGACTAGAGTTTGATAAATACTTGATGTGAGGATTTGCAAAGTGTGACGTTGTGTCCTCCACCTCTGAACGGGTCCAAAAATCTGTTTCCTAGACCTGGATTTGTTCGTCCAAATGTTTAGAGGCACTATGAAGGACTGGAGTTTATATTTGAGATGTTTTTAAAAGGACTCAACGTTTATTTCCTGCTGACATTGTGGATAATTATGTGAACATAGCCTTTGATCAGGGAGCAGAAGTGTGCCATATTGTTGTCAAAAATCATCCCTGGTGTTTGTTTGCTTAGGAATGCCAAACGGGTGAAATTTTAGAAAAGTCAATCATCACTTATTTTATAAAACTGTTTTTAGTGGCATTGAATGAGCCAGATCAAACCAGAACACATGTAAATAGTACCTGTCCCTCGTCTGATTCAAGGTGGAGCAAAGTCAGATGTTGGTTTTCCGTCTCTTCACTCTCATGTTTGTGATCTGATGTGAACACTCACTTTCTGTTGTTGATGTCTGATAATCCATCCAGGTTTCTCGTTGTTTTTATGATGCATATCTTAGTATATTTATTGCTGACTTTATGTGCCAAATGTTTGTGAGGGTTTTTTGCCAAATGTTTATGATGAACTGTAAATATTAAATCAGAATCTTAAATTCTGTTTTTAGCGAGTCATGGTGTCAGCTAGAGGTCGATGTGCACAAAGTCCAATCACTCTATCACTTTATGGATGAGATAGTAAATGTCATGGGATGTTTAGAGTCTGAGAAAAAAAACAAAAAACCTGAAAGTGGTGGCATAAATTGGCACAACGTTGTGGTTATGAAATACATGAATGTGATTTGAACACAAATAAGTGTTTGCAAATGAAAAATTATGTCAAATAAAAAGAAAGTTTAAGAAGTAACATTCTTTGAAGCCGTCTCTCTGACACTGAGGTTCAACTGTCCTGTGAAGGGGAAGAAAAATGTACACATTATCCTAACTTTATAAAACCTTAAATCTCTTGTGAGGAACTTTTAGTTTGGGTTGACTTTGCTCACACCTCGACCCCGTGTGGAAAAAATGTTGCCTTTTATATCTTTGCTGATCTTTCCCTGTTCATGTGTAGTTAGTATTTGCTGTTGAACTGCTCATTTGACACCTACCCTGCGGCCGCGTTTAAAGACTACCGGTATATAGAAATAATCAATCTTTCAATCAATCAATCAATCAGAAATATCCTGAAAATTACAAAAACAAATGTCTTAACAGAAGTTTCAAAAACCTTTCACTCATCTTTCTTACTTTTTTGTGATTTTAATGTCTGTATCAGGTAAGTCTGTTGCACCAATAAGACTCCAGGGATCATCTTCATCAGGGGGCTATTTAGGCTGTGAGGGGCGTGAATATCAAAATAAAAGAAGATTATAGCATCATGATATATTTCTTTTTCTCATTATGACTCTTTGACATGTCACAGGAAAAGCACAGGTGTAAATGATCCTTTGGATGATTGCAGAATCTAATTGAGCTGCTTCATTATCTCTGAGCTCCATATTCTCTTCATTTGACACATATGAGATTATGTTAAGATGGGGTGGGACTCCCATGGTAACACAATACGATGGATAAGATACAATACGGAATGAGGCTTACGTACAGTGATTCTGCGATGTTTGATAAACTACAAGACAAGCTTATAATGACACATCACAATAACTGATTAGCTGAACAATATAAACTGTCCCTTAAAATGTGAAGTGCAGGATTCATGTATTTATTCGCAGCAATTTGGTTTCAGTTCCACCTCTTTAACTTCTTTTCACACCTGTTCAAATGTTTCCACTGTTGTTGTCGTCTTCTTTTATTCTCATTCCAACTCGTGTTGTTTTTGGTTAACTAACTTCTGAGTACGTTTCAGTGAATATTGCTGAAGTGGGGACTGAAGCTGCCATGGAAAAATGTTTAAAATGCTGCATCTTTATTAAACTTAAAATATGGATATTTGGCACTCATGAGGCGATAACTGTATCAGATGAGTCAGAGAAGATATATTCCTTCCTCCTCATAAAAAGGGTTTTATGTTCTCAGCAATGGTTTCATAAAAAAGTCAAATCTGAAATGTAAATTTGTTAAAAAAACAACAACTATGTTCATAGTTTACAGATGCCATATTCTTTGAAACCTAAACCCCTTACATTTGCAGGCCAGATATTTTCCACCAATTAAGACTTAGATATCTCCACAGTGGCTGAACAGGATTTTACCATTAAAACAGGAATTTAAACACCCATTTCCATTTGAACCTTTAAAGATAGCCCAATCTGATCTCTGACCATGTTAGTGAACATGGAGCCTCTGGGAACATTTAGGTCACTCTTCTGGTTTACTGCGATTGTTTACTGTGACACTTACACTGAGTTCTCTTTTATGTTTGGAGTAATACCTGTGCTGCCCGTGCTGAATGAAAGGCCTGTATTTATACCAAAACAACACTGCAGAAACAGGTTCAGGAAACTGAATGTACCCAGAACTACTCACCCACATACACTCACTTTACACTAATCCCAATCAATACTTTTAGCTTGACATTCTACTTTTAATATGCCTATGAGTTTTTTTTTTTTTTTTTGCTATGGATAATGTTTTAGCTTTGAGGTCATAAATGATGGTGTTTTAGTGCTGAGCTGCGTTTGGAAACAGTAGGACAATATTTCTACACACATTTCTAACACCACCCGTGACCTATGATCTATTGCATTAAATGTATATATGCACCTGACACCTTAAATTGAATCCAGAGCATGTTTCATCATACAAATACAGAAAGATGACTTTAGTGTGATAGGAGTAACAAATGTGGACACAATTGGACACCAAGATGGAAATAAAGCAAAGTCCTCTAATGTGCCTCTTTATTTAAAGAAAATAAAAATGTCATTTAATCATCCTCCTAGGCCAAACAAGGTATTTGCACCTCCAGTCAGTTCACTCTCTGTTGGGGATAGACGTGTACTGTAGCAGAAGAAAAGGCTGATGCTGTTTGTACAAGGAGAAGAGCTTGTCTTGTTGGGTGCTGCTCACACATTCATAGTGCCTGTGCCATCAGTGTGGCTCCAAAGGACCAAAGAATTACTAATATTGCACGCTCTCATTTATTCAACTCCATTCTAAACATGCTTTCCTATGTGTGTATGTATACATATTTACCGTATACATACATAGGTATGTACACCTAGGCACACACATAATTAAACATGTATAATTGTACATATATATTTATATAGACCTATAAATTTACATGTACATACATTTATAAAATTTTACACACACGTCGCACGCTCGCCCTCTCACACACGCACACACACAATGCGTCTGTGAGTCTATGTTTGTTTTATGTACACATGCGCACAGGCACGCACATCAGTACAGATCTCAGACACACTTCATATCGAAAAAACGTTGGTTCCTATTAAAACAACACCAGGTTGCAATTTGGACACTTTAAATGGATTTCCAATGTTTGTTTAAAGCTGTGAATTCAAAAAAAAAAGAAAAAAAAGAAGAAAGAAATTAAAAGGAGGAAAAAATAAAACCAACAAAATACAAAAGGCATGGCGCTGCAACATCTGGTCTTCACTGCAGGTAAGTGGTTAATTTGCATAATGTATACAGGTTTTTAGGATTTTTTCCCTATTTTTTATTTTTTACTAAACAGCATTTCCTCTTTTTTTATAAACCAGAAAAAACTAAACTCTACAGAGAAAGTCCTCTACCCGCAGTCTTCCGCTGCTGATAGAGATTGACATCAAGCTGTACAGCGCAGTCAAAAACATACTTACATCTGAGCTCATTTACAGGTACAGCCATAATCAAGGCACAAAGATCTACAAGTAGATTTGTTTTTCTTTCAATTAAGTTGTACAAAATAATATTACATTTTACAGTCTGTACAGGATAATTCAACCTTGCACAGTGTACAAGTTAACAAAAAAAAAAAAAAAGGAACAATACATTTCTCTCTCCCGTCCCCCTCCCTCCCCTCCCATCAGTATCTCTACGCTAAAAGGATGGTTTGTGTGGGAAAAAAAGGAGGCGGGTCCGAGTCCGTGGAGGCAGCAGGGCTAAGGTGCAGAGAGCTCAGTCCCTTTTCCTTCATTTCAAATCCTTCTTTGTGTCGTTGTGTTTCCTGCCCCACTTCTCCCACTTTTTTTGAAATCTTTCGCGCCACACGTCTCTCGGATGCTCGGTGCACCCTGCAGCTCGGCAAGCTAACATCGTGACAGGGTAATAAATATTGTGATGCTACATTGTGTGTATGCTTCCTCTGGAGAAAAAAAAAAAAAAAAAAAAAACAACAGAAAAAAAATGTTATTAAGGAACCTGATGCAAAGTGCATTTATCTCTTCATCCACTCGGCTCCCCTCCATACGCTCCTGGCCGTCTCTCTGGTTTTGGCGCCGTCCAGTCGACGTCCATGCGGAGACAAGAAGCGGGTCAGAGGGGCCAAAGGGAAAAAAAAAAAAAGAAAAAAAAAGTAGAAGGGACAAAGGTCATGGTGGTGATGCCAGCTTAAACCAGCAGGCGACATGAACTTCAACACACACACACACACACACACACACACACACACACACACACACACACACACACACACACACACACACACACACACACACACACACACACACACACACACACACACACACACACACACACACACACACACACACACACACACACACACACACACACACACACGTTCGCTCACATGGCATTCCTCCTTCTCTTCATCACACACACACACACACACACACACACACACACACACACACACACACACACACACACACACACATTGCCTCTACACTGAGGTCCTGTAGGTGTGTTTTAATGTTTCAACACCCACCAGTCCAGGTCCAACAACGAAGCCAAAAATCAGAGGAAAACAAAGGGGAAAAAAGGAGGTAGCCCAAGGCTTAGTGGAATGACAAAAATCAAGGCATTCAAAAGGATTAAAAGAAAAAACTTAGCGGCACGCACTGACTTTGTTCCCCAAAACTTCCTTTCACATGGGCGAAATGGGCATGAATCTGTCTCAGAGAAAAAATAACAAGTACAAAAAGCTAAGAAGTTAAGAAGAGGAAGAGGATTTGACACACTTCAGTAGTACTTCATAGTCCTCAACAGGAGGGGTGGTAAGGGGTCTCTTTGGGGAAGGGGAGGGGGGTGAGGGAGGAGGAGGAGGAGGAGGAGGAGGAGGAGGAAGGGTTCGCCAAGGATGCAGAATGGTGGAGAAAAAACACAGAAGGCTGACGGAGGCGGTCTCCCATCACAAGAGTTCATACTGCCGCAGGTGCATTCTCTGGATGATGTCCCGGCAGTCGTTGAACACCCGCCGGATGTTCTCTGTGTCCACAGCGCAGGTGAAGTGGGGGTAGCAGTAGTGTCTGCCGTCGCCGCTCGCAGTGCTGATCCGCTGAGGGGGGAGACACAGAAGGAAGAGAGGACGGGCCACACGTGTGAACACAAAGGTCTGAATTTTCACCCTGAGAATTGTTCCTACCACACCCTAAGTAAAAAAAATCTAGGTTTAGACCACTATGAACGAGTGGCAGGGGTGATGACGTTTACTTCATGGCACAATGCAGGACTGCTGCCGTCTTTTTGCATGTAATGAAGCCGCTCTGAACTCTTTTCTGCCTGTTTTCTCCACTCTTTTTTGTTACTGTAAATACTTTTTTTAAAATTTTACCCACCACTGTTCTTAGTAGACACTCAGGTAAAGCCCTGTGTCCACATAGCAGTTTTTCTGTGCAGAAAAGCGCTGGCTGTGCGCTCACGAGCTCTTTATGTGTGCTTGTATCCGTCCTGACTTTGACCACATTCTGGTAACAACGGCCGCTGTATGACCTACACTGCTCCGTTCCTTTTTACTACATGTCTTAGATTTAATATCATTTTTTCTCCAGCGGACATTGAGCAAAGAGGATGTGGGTACAAGACACAATCTGTTGGCGGCAAAAATATGTGGGAATATCATACATTTGGAAAAGAGCACAGGCGACATCAGTGGCTTTCTCAAAAGTTGAAAGATTTTCAACTTGTGCGCTCAGATTTGCCGCAAAAAAACAGGCGGAGCGATCAGTAAAGGGATTCTGGGCCCTGCACTTTTTCTCTGGGCGACCACCTGCTGCTGCAAACGCTCTCTCCTCATTGAAAAGGAAAAAGATGCTGGCACTCAGAAAAAAACACTATGTTGAGCCTAAAGGACTCATTTTAAGTTTAAGACGACTTATAGGACCACAAACATTGGCTCACATATTTAAAGGAATAGCTCAACTGCCCCAAACAAATAAATAAAAAATACACCAGGCCTACATTAGAAAAAAACTCTACTAGTATTAAGATATATAACTGGGGTCAGAATTATTTTATCACAAGACAAAATATAAGCTTAGTGTTAATACTACAGAACTAAAACTACAGCTGATTAAAGCTCCTGTGATTTTGCCCCCTCCCCGTGGACAAAGCGATACGACTTATCTCTTTGCTGATTCCATCGTATACATGTGTAAGAAACGTTCATTATGTCAATTCTTTGACTCCAACTGACTTCACACTGCCCAGACTTGCAGCGACATACTTACAAGAAACTCGTCTCGAATGAAGAACTTAGCTCTTGTCACTCTTGGGTCCTCGCCGGGTTCAGGAGTTGCTTTAAAAAAAACAAAAAACAGATTCACTATCAGAAACAATAACAACAACAACAACAACAACAACAACCAACAGAAACTTTGACGGAACGAAAGTTTTGAAGTTCTTCTTAGTGAAAGGCACAGACCTTCATTTGGTATGGTGTAGCGAGCATATTCAGGGAAGTAGTCTTCAATTTTGGATTTTCCAGCTAGTACTTTCTCAGCCAGCATGTCCTGCTTGTTCAGGAATAATATGACCGATATAGTGCGTAACCATCTGGAAAAAAACAAACACAAAAACAACATTAAGGAGGCTTCATGTTAACAATGTATGAAGCCTTGCTGAGTCAGAGATGCCTTAGATAAAGCATCGCTACACTCAGAGAGTTTCCTTCATGGGAGGGGTGACATGAAATAGATTACAGGTTTGGCACATGACAGCTCTCTCCACCTTACGTACTGTTCAACAGATTTTTTTATGTTGTTTATTTTGTATTTGTAAAGTCCTTTGTAACTTTCTTATTTTACAGCTACAGAAATGTTCATTTCACTGATTATGGTTGGAGAAAAAAAAAAGAGCTTTGAAAGTTATTTGATCAATTTCAGTGTTTTGAAGCCTTTTGTCCTTGTCACTCTGCATTTCTTAAATCTCTGCAGTCAAGGTGGAGGATTAAATGTTACATGTGACAATCGTTTGAAAAGGAAAAAGGAGAACAGTAACTATGGTTACAAATAAAAATGATTCTTTTTGCGTCAAGTATAAGAGATGAGATTTAAATGATCAATCAGTGTAGGAGCACAAAAAGTATGAGGAGTGGGACATTAGGACAAGAAAGAAGCTGCACAGATTAGAAAATCCTCCAGGTCGTCAGATGCAGCTCCAGTCGAAAGAAAGTAACCGCTGGGCTCAAACTTCATTCATGTGTCAGACTCACCTGTTGTTCCAAATACTGCGGAAGAGATCCAGGGCTTCCCGTAGCCGGTTGGTGTTGTTGTCTTCCCTTATTACCATGTTGTAGCTGCTGCTGGCCACCACGAAGATGATAGCAGTGACGTCTGTGAGGAGAGCAGAGGAAATACATCAGGAGTGTGTAGGAACAAGCCATAAAGAAAAGGTAACGTGATGCTACAGAAAAGAAGTACGGCACGGTTATTTTACAGAAGAACAAGTAGAAGAAGAAAAGAAAGGTAAATCTCACCGTTAAAGCACTGGATCCATTTTCTCCTTTCATCTCTCTGGCCTCCAACATCAAACATGCTATGGAGGAGACAGAATTCTGGGTCAGAACAGACACAGCAACACACTCACTTCCGCCCAGTTAGATACATATGCTATGCTACAGTTCGCTATCTTGAGAATATTTAGCCTCCAGTTATATATACAAGTCATCACCAATGCATGTAAAGATGCACATTTTTAGACCATCGATGAAGAACTCTTATCTCTATTGACACTGATCTGCCTTGCAAAAAGAGATCCTGTATTTTAAAGTCTGGACACATATGTAATCAGTTACATGTGAAAAACAGAGTTATTTGTACCCTGTTCAACCCTGGCTGGGTGGAAATCATCAAAGTTGAATAATGAAAAATGCACACCCAAAGGGAAGTCATGTCCCAGAGTTTTCACATCAATCATTCAGGATGATATAATTTGATACAAAGGCCTGTTTCAGACGGTAGAATAAGTCTGTTGTGTCCGTGACTGTGGAAATGGGTCATCTCTTCTGACATCATCAAAGCAGTTACAAAACATTTACTCCTTACTTTGACTGGCTGTTCTTTTAACTGCAAAGCGCCGGTAAATGACTCTCGACTTACTCAGAAATCACACCAGTTGGCCACAGGGAGTCTTTCTACCTCTAGGCACTGAGATGACGTTTTTTTCCCTCAGCTTTCTGCCGCCGAGCTTGTCGGAGTTCGGCGTTTTGTTCTTTGTAATTACAGGCTCTTAACACGAGGCCATGGTAAATATAGCAATAACACCCAAGAGGGAATTCTTAACTGGGATTGTTTGTGCATAAATGATGCAAGAAGTAGCCACGATCAACAGTTCTCTTAAGAGCGCATCCCCCTCCGTCATATTTGGTGGTATTTTGGTCCCAGAATGGTGGAAAAAGCCCAAGAGCTCAGTTTTTCAGGAACGAATGAAAGCGTAAGCATAAGTAGTTGAACATGAAAGCACTGATTGGAGAGAGGACATTTCCTTATATGGTCATTTGATATATTTCCGTTGTTAAGTGAACACTATTGGGGCAGCAAACTGATTCCTTGTATGGTTAACACTTATTTGGTTCTTAAAATGTAGTTTCATGAACATGAAAAACTGGACTGATTTTTTAAGGTGATTACTTCGTATTTTGGTTGACCTATCTTATCTGTGTTTAATTAATGGGTAAAGTGGGATTTCCTGTGTTTGAAAATAAGCATAAATGTAATTCAAGTAACTGAACTGATACAAATCAAAAAACACTTGAGGGCAAGATGCCTGGCTCTGAAAACATCTGATTACTAATGTCTGTAGTTTGTCTTTTCAGGGAATATGGAAACATATACTTCAGTTGTAAACAAGCAGTTTCTTAGTTTCCTAAAAGGTGATAACCTCCTTTCCATGAATTACTGGAAAGTCTGAGGAAAACATTTGTATATTACAAGGAATAGGATGTCGAATATAAATATATAGATAAGTGGTGGGAACATGCCTTCATCATGTGTTTCAATCTGAATAAAAGATGAGCAAGACTTACTGAAAGTTCACTTTGTCTACTTGGAACCTCGTCTCAAAAATCCCTGAAGTTAACACTCGGCAGCGTAGCAGGTCCTGTAAAAAACACAGACAGGATACATACAGTTCAGTAAAGGGTCCGGCAAGCTGGCTTTAGGAAGTAATTTATAAACTATAAAAACTGAGCACATTAATGAGAGGACTGACCTGGTCTGTGGGTGTGTAGTCGTTCTGTCTTACAGAGTCAATTCTGTCCAGGAAACTGCAAAAAAAAAAGAAATAGAGCCAAGGTTAGATTTTGCACCGAGGTTATTTATTCCAGTTCTATGGGCTGCAGAAAACAAATTCAACGACAAACTCACAGCATAAATACTGATTTAAAAAAAAAAAAATACTGAATCCAACCAAACAAAATACCAAACAGAGAACCAGAGCTTTTCTTACAGAGAGAATCAGGGCCACGTTCAGGCTACACTAATCCAATCACAGTTTCATCCATCTATTTAAATCTATTTAAAGAAGCTGTTCAAACAAACAACAGTTGTATCAGTTCTTAAAGATATTAGATTCGCTGCATCAGCTAAAACAGTTGTGAGCCACTCAGGATGCTGCAGATGGAGGCCGCCATGTCTGAGTCACTGTAGAGGTTTAGCAGGCCGGTGTTATGGCAGCTTGTTGCCACAAGAGGGCAGGGCTGCTAAGTCTGGGCTATTTTGGTCGTCTCTAACCAGAGTGATTACATAAGGCGGTTATTGTGGAGGTTAGGCAGCTTGCTGTTGCTGTCTCTTCACTACAAAAAGAGCATGTGCAGCAGCAGCAGCAGCAGCAGCAGCAGCAGCCGGGCCCCTCTGAGCCACAGCCGGCTCAGGACACCAAGAGTCGGGGGACAGACAGTCTCACAGATCCCATGATGATCTGCATCACATCATTTATAGACTCCAGCTATGCTGATTGAGGGGTCAAAATATTCTTAGACTTAATAAACAAAGGTCCATTCAGACAGTGAAAACTTAACATCATAGAAGTACATCATTATGCAAAAATATCAAGTTTTCCATCTGGGCCAATATATTGCCAATGTTTTTTCCCATTTATCTGGAACTGATCATTAAGGTCTCTCCCTGCATAAATATGCATTGCGCCTTGTTACCTGGACTGACCTACAACAGAAGCAAAAGTGGGACACACCAGAGTTGAAAACTAAGATGTGAAACATTTTATTCCATATAAAAAAGAGCTTAATGGTTAATGGTTAGAGGTAGCAGCAAGGAGGTACACCCCTCTTATGCCCCTTCATCCATTCTGTCATTACTCATCAAAAACTGCAAAACAACTATGTTGTATTAAGTTACCTCATTATGATAAGAAATATTAGCAGCAGCCTTATTTGTTACAAAGTCATTCATATCTCTATATCTCATACAGACAAAATCAATCTTATCAATACTCTGTACTGATATAATTGTATTGTCCAGACTTTTTTTAATGACAGCTAATTCAGTAAAAGATACAGCAGAGAAACAGTGTGACATGTGATTCTGGAGGTTACCCAGCATAAAGGTTCAGTTTGTGAGTTAGTCCAGCATGTATGACACAAATGTGGACCAAACAGCCCGTCTCACCATCCTTCATCGTCCACCCAAACTGTCTGAGTCTCTGGGGTGTCACAAGACATCCATGCTGGCTTCAGCATACCACAAACCTGATGCTCAAGAGATAAGCAGCCCGAGCTAAGAGTTTCTTGGTTTGTTTTAGCCAAGGATCAGGTTGGCAGTTTGTTTTTTTAATTCAAGCCAAAAGTAGCACCCCGCACACACTCCAACGTAGAACTAAATAAAATAGAACGAATGCTCTGTTATGAAGCGTTAGATAACAGAGACGGCCCTAATGTGCTATGACAACAATGTTTTCACCACACCGATTTATTTCTTCTGCACGCAGTCCTCACAAAAAGGAGAAGTACGGCTATTTCTGAAAGAGCTTTACACTTTCTCACACAAGAGTCCAAATCAAGTCTATGTCTCTCCTGTATCTCCAGATCAAACACACAGTATAGAGACAGGAAGGGAGTAACTGATCATCAGGATATGTTATGTCAAATCTTTATTGGGTACCATGGGTGCTGTTTTTAAAATATCATAAAATGACATATGCAACCTCAAAAACTGCTTCTTTATTATTTTAGTGCTCAATAAACCCTTTACTTATTAACTTGACCAGGTATGTGTGCCAGAGGTAAAACCAGTCTGATTAAATCCCAGTGTAGTCCACACCTTGTCTTTGACTCACAACTTCACCTTTTGACTGTTCACTGGTTTGTTATGCAAGAAAGTAAACTGAAGGACCTTTTAGACTTTCAACTTTCTCTGTTCTCTGACCTCTGTGAAAACACCTTCAACCTGAACTTTATAAACTAAAGAGGCCCGAGGGGGTGAAACTATAGATGTATCACACGAAAGAAGACAAGGTAAGAATACAAAAAGAATATATTCTGTCTACCACCTACAGTAGATTCAACTCATTGTGACATAATAACTGTTTCTACTAACTATAGAGGGCAGTAATTCCCACCAGCCAGTTGATAGCAACCAAAAGAAGTAGAAAAGGAACAAGACTAGAAGTTGATGTAAACGACGCAGGTAAACAAAGCAAACAATGCAGGTGAACAATACTAATCTGTAATGAGGTCAGAAATTATTTTTAAAATGTGTGTTTGGCTTCAGAGGAGTTGTTTTCCTGCAATGAATGTGTACAAATTAGACTTATTTTATGCACCAGTATGTAAAACTGCATGAGCACATTTTTCCTGTTGGATTGAGGCCTGTGGCTAATGGCCATGCTTTCAGATCACTTTTGATGCAGTCAGATGTTACCCAGCATAGAGCTAAAGCTGAAGCTAGCTTTCAGCTACCCTCAGATCAATCCTTTAGATTCACGGACAAAATGCAAACACAGGCTTTGTGTAACACATGAAGGACAGCAGATAGACATCAAAACTGCTAAAGTTAAAGTTAAAGCTAATATGCACTTTTAATTTTTTTGTTTATTAACTGCACTACATATTAATATCACAATATTAAACAATGTCATGGCATGTTCTTCTCATACGGTGCAGGGCAGGCCTACACACCCTATTTTACCCCCCAACAATAATGAGTCCACTGATTTTCTTGACAAATCATTCGATGAATCACAGTGATGTCATCAAGCTGCTCATAATATCAGATAATACCTTACAGACATTAAGCCTTTTATCAAATGAAATAAGAAGAAGCAGCACATTTATACCTTAGCGACTGAGCTTAAGAAAAGTTTGGTAATTGGTCAATATAATTTCTTAGAGGTCAACTGAATGATTAGTTGATCACCGTTTGTAACTCTACTAAACATAAAGAGTGCATTTTAATGATAAATTAATGTTAAACAGTGTTTACTAAAAAAGGAAAATTGATATGAAAAGACAGATCTTAAGTTTTACTTCACAGCCCATATTTAACAAATAACATACATACTTGAAATTGAGTTTCACTCACAAACAGATCTCACCCTGAGCAGACACACACTCACATACACACACAAAAACCTTCAGCTTTTGCCCCATCACTGCAACAATGTGGGAGTATTTTTAGTCAGCCTTCCTTGCAGAAACAGAGCTAGGTTATAATTACTGAGCTCTTTCTGACTGCCATGTGACTGAAAAAAAAACTATCGATGGAGAACTGGAGAGCCAAATATAGTCGTCATATCCAGTGAGGAAAATAAAAAAGAACAAGGGATAAACTAAATAAATAAAATTAGCGACAGGCCTTTCAGGTAGTGTTTTATCAAAAGGTTTGGCTGCAGTTTTACAGTCCTGGTCGGGTGCTGCAAATAGAAAAGCTGGGGTTCAGGCTTAAGGAAATTTGTGGTGTTGTGTGTTGGTCTGCTCGTATTTCTTCCCACAACTGTTCTGATGTGGTCATTTTGAAGACTTCTGGATTTGAAGCTTCATGCCAGCAAGTTTTTGTACTTTGTTTTAGTATGGGTAGAGTATTTATTTCAAATGGCAGTGTTAAAAAAGTGAACACGTACACTTAGGATACTTTAGAGAACTGAAGTGAAGTTGATCTAAAAAAGATCATTATAATTCTAAATATCAGTAATACAACATTTCAACAATAGTTGTACTATGATATATTTAATTCATGAACAACATTTTATACTTTAACTAGACCTGCACGCTATAATAAAAATATGCCATGTGAAATGACAATTCAATATTTTGTTAACAACATGAACACATTTCAAAGAATGCATGTTAGCTATAACTCACACTTTATAAGTCTATCTGCTGTTCTTCATGTTTTACACATCACCTGTGTATTTGCAGCATGTCCCTCCTCAATCCAAATCAAATCCAAAAGGCCTTTTCCCTTCACATAAATTGGCAGCGATTAATCTGAGGGTGTCTACTAGCTAACTTGAACTTCATCTGCCTGCATCAGATGATGTGATGAATGGACGTTATATTCAGGCCTCTATTCCAACAGGTGAAATGTCTGCATGATGATTGAGAAAGCACGGCTTGTGTATGTACAATAATGTTTCTAATTGAATTCAGAATTTTGAGTTTACTTAATGCTCAAATCATGATAAAGATTACATTGATTATTAATTGTCCTGACGTGCTCTCAACTGTAACTGAAATAATAAACGGCACCAGGTTCATTTTGGGGCTTTTTCTTTGTTGGGAGATATTTGTCAACAGTTGCAAGAAGCAGCGGACCTCGTGAAGACTTTTTCAGTTATGAGGTTGTTTTTTCTGTATTAGTAACACATCAAGTGGCACTTTACTGAACCTCTATTTTTTTCGCCAAAAAAAGAACTTGCACTGGTCATGTGGTACTTGCCTGAAAAAAAAGTGTTTTCAAAGGGGGTATTTTATCAAAACACTTTCAGAAACACTGGTGTGGGGCCATTAATAACATTTTGGGAAGGTCTGTGCTTTGTTTTTCCACTTAAACATGATAAAATCACATAAAACCAGCATTCATTTTAAATGTAATAAGCCTTCCAATTTTTCATGGCAGGTTGTTTTGTTAATAAGCCAGTTGAATTAACAGAAACAAAATTCCACTACTATCTTGTCTATTACAGTCCCCCTGTTTCTGTCTGCAGGGCTGAGTCGTCTCTGTATTTAGCCAAAACACATTGTACTCGTCCTGCAGGCCAGTCTGTGTTGCTATGTATAGCCTTTGTTTTAGACAGTATCACTTGACTTGG